AACAACAACAACAACAAAAAACCAGGCTGGGTGGTGTGGCTCACGCCTGCAATCCCAGCACTTTGGGAAGCTGAGGCTGTCAGATCTCTTGAGGTCAGGAGTTCGAGACCAGCCTGGCCAACATGGTGAAACCCCATCTTAACTAAAAATACAAAAATTAGCCAGGAATGGTGGCATGTGCCTGTAATCCCAGCTATTCAGGAGGCAGAGGTGAGAGAATCGCTCGAACCCAGGAGGCAGAGGTTGCAATTGTGCCATTGCTCTCCCGTCCGGAGTGACAGAGTGAGACTCTGTCTCAAAACAAACAAACAAAAAACAATTAGCTGGACATGGTGGTCCTCGCCTATAGTCCCAGGCACTTGGGGGGCTGAGGCAGGAAGATTGCTGGAGCCCAGGCGTTTGAGGCTGCAGTGACTAATGATGGCACCACTGCACTCCAGCCTGGGTGACGCAGTGAGACCCTATCTCTTAAAAAAAAAAAAAAAGAAAGAAAAAAAAAAGAGAAAATATCTACATGTGAATAGACAAAAGACAAAGAATGTACATCACACTATTATAGCAATGATTCCTGAGGTTCGAAGCACTATGAGTAATTTTTATTCTCTTGTTACCTACCTGTTTTCTAATTTTTATATTATGAACACATATTACTTTTGTAATTATAAACCAAAAATGTATGCCAGCAAAAGACATAACAAATTCATACATAGGCCGGGCACAGTGGCTTAGGCCTATAATCCCAGCACTTTGGGAGGCTGAGGTGGGCAGATCACCTGAAGTCTGGAGTTCAAGACCAACCTGGCCAATGCGGTGAAACCCCGTCTCTACTGAAAATACAAAAATTGGCCTGCTGTGGTGGTGGGCGCCTGTTATCCTGGCTACTGGGGAGGTTGAGGCAGGAGAATCGCTTGAACCCGGGAGGTGGAGGTTGCAGTGAACCGAGATTGCACTGTTGCACCCCAGCCTGGGCGACACGAGCAAAACTCCATCTCAAAAAAAAAGAAAAAAATTGTGCACAATATTGTCCCTATAAGGGTGTGGTAGAAGTGGTTTTACATGCAGTGTTTATTCCAACTTCCTTCTGATATGCCCCCCTGTGCTGCAGAGGCTGGGAACAAAGAGTCATGTTTCCTTGACTCCCTTGCAGCTCAGTCGCTAGGTATGAATTAGTGTCTACCAGTAGATGAACCTTCTTGAGAAGGAGGCCACAGTATCAGCTCTGCCTCTGTCTGAGCAGGGGCTCAGTGAGGGTTGGAACAGATCACCAGAACTCATCTCCAGCTCTGAGCTCAGAGGGAGTCCGGGCTGGAGCATACTCACCCCTGGATGGTGACTGTAGCAGAAGGTTATTAAAGCCAACAGTTTGGGTGGTGGCCTTCTAATTCCCTATCTTCTTGATATCCTGGAGGTTGTAGTGATCCTGGCAAGCCTGTTCTGTATCATTGCTCAGTGTTCTGGGAAACATTCCGGGATACCTAGCCTAAACAGGCAGCCTTGCCAGCAGTTTTATAATTGCCCAAATCATCCTAGGCCTAAAATAGCTAGTTGTTTCTGTTTCCTGAGACACAACCTGACTGACATAAGGGCTCATGAGCTATTTGGGGATGAGCTTGTGCTGAAAGAAAACATACATTTTTATGACAAGTCAAACGGAAGCATTAATATTTCAAGTTGCTTGGAATTCATCTGAATTGCAGAAGGAAGAGTAAAAATATCAGGAACAAGTGCCAAACCTAAAACACACGAAGATCTCCAAGTATAAATGTAACAGGATCACGGATTTCCTCTCTTTTACCAAGACATGCAGGTACAATATCACTTCTACTTTTCTCTGGAATGGCTCATTCTTCCCATGAGCCTTATCTCAATGGGTTTTGGAGTGAGATGGTGAGGAGCAGGGAAACCGAATTAAGTTTGCCCGTTTGCGGAATCTCGGCTCAAAGAACCCTTTTCCACGGTGTAGCGGTGCAGTCTTTCAGAGTTCTCGGTTTCTCCACGCTGTCTGGATGCCCAGGGCTGTGTGGATAAATGTAGTACCAGGTACTCTCATCCTGTACTGGTTTCCCATGTGAATTGGCTGGTCTGGGCTGGTCCCCGACCTGAGACCTCTTGAAGGACTCACTGGTTCCATTTAGGACAGGGGCATCGTGATGTTACTCATGGCTGGAGTCTGTGATTCCAGTCCTTGCCTCTGGTCACAGATCCTCCTCCTCTGTGGCTTCTTCCCCTAGGCCTCTTTCACCAGTCTCAGAGCACTCCCAGGCGCACTCCGGGGTGTACATGGTTGCTAGATCCTTAACCTCCTCCCTGCAGGCTGTGGAGCCTGCCCCAGGTCCACACGTCCATTCCCACCCTCTACTAGTGGCCATGCTGCATGAGGACAGTGCTGTGTTGGATGTGGAATCCAGGTGTGCTCGTCCTGGCCTTCCAGGTGGAGCAGGAGGCCGATGCCCCTCTGCTTTCAACTGCAACTCTTTTTTTATCTTCTTTTTTTTGAGACAGTCTTGCTCTGTCACTCAGGTTGGAGTGCAGTGGCACCATCTCGGCTCATTGCATCCTCTGCCTCCCAGGTTCAAGCAATTCTCCTGCCTCAGCCTCCTGAGTAGCTGGGATTACAGACACACGTCACCATGTCCAGCTAACTTTTGTATTTTTAGTAGAGACGGGGTTCCACCATGTTGTCCAGGCTGGTCTTGAACTCCTGACCTCAGGTGATCTGCCCACCTCGGCCTCCCAAAGTGCTGGGATGACAGACATGAGCTACTGCGCCCAGCTGCACATCTGATCAGCATCTGTGCTGGCAATCAACCTGGAGAAAGGAGGTGGGACACAGGCATCTGTCCCCTTGCCTCCGCATCTACTGGGATGGCAGGGGTGATGTTTTCACTCTGCCTCTCAACGATGGAGTTCCTCTTTGTCCTCATCCACTCCCTTCCAAACAGCAGGGACCCTGTACAAGATAGGGTCCAAGGAAATAAATTAACTTACCATTGAGCAAGGGCCAAAGAGGCTGCCCACTTTGTGCTAAGAAAATCTGTTCATGATGATTTCTGCAAATGATGCACACCCTCCCTGCTTCGCCTCCTTTCTCCTAACACTTACTAGGAAAGAAGACACTGAGCAGATAAGTGGCTGACGTTTATTTTCATACTCTGCTTTGAAATAGGGCACCATGAAAAGAGACCTGTCAGCTGTGGAAGCCATTGGCGTCGGAGAGGGAAGACAACCTCCCGTCCTTTAAAACATCACCTAAGAAAGGCCGGAAGTCTCCCGGTGAGAGAGGGGCGCTTTCCTTGGCAGTGTCTGAGGAAACAGAGTGGAAGCATGAGCTCTTCCTGGAATGGGATTCATGTCATCAAGAACTATGGATCTGCTGGGCCAGGCATGGTGGCTCACGCCTGTAATCCCAGCCATTTGGGAGGCTGAGGCAGGTGGATCATTTGAAGTCAGGAGTTAGACACCAGCCTTGCCAACATGGTGAAACCCTGTCTCGACTAAAAAAATACAAAAATTAGCCGGATGTGGTGGTTGCATGCCTGTAATCCCAGCTACTCGAGAGGGTGAGGCAAGAGAATTGCATGAACCCGGGAGGCGGAGGTTGCAGTGAGTCGAGATTGTGCCACTGTACTCCAATCTGGGTGACAGGGCAAGACCGTCTCAAAGAAAAAAAAAAAAAAAGAACTATGGATTTGCTAAGGCCAGTAGTCTCTCTATCCCTTAGTAAAACGTATTTCGGTATAAAAATCCAGATAATTGAACCATTGCCATTAGATGTTTCGAGGTTTCTATTGACAATGTGGAGGTCTTATCATTTAGATTTCAACCCTTTTATTTTTAGTTTTTAGAGACGGGGCCTTGCTGTGTTGCCCAGGCTGGAGTACAGTGTAGTGATCACAGTTCACTGCAACCTTGAACTCAGTGGCTCAAGCAAGCCTCCCACCTCAGCTTCCCGAGTAGCTGGGACAGGAGTGCACCACCATGCCTGGCTAGGTTTTGTATTTTTTGTAGAGATGGGGTCTTGCTATGTTGCCCAGGCTGATCTCGAACTCCTGGGCTCAAGAAATCCTCCCACCTTGGCCTCTCAAAGTACTGAGATTACAGGTGTGAGCCACCATACCTGACCACTTTGGACACTTATATTGTTGGAGTGAAACTGAAACATACGAGGGTTTGTTCAAAGTATATGTAGAGAAGGCAAAATTCCACACTGATTCTTCCTGCCTTGGACTAGATGTGTTGTGCAGAGTGAGGGTGGAAAATGAGCCAGTGTCCTGAACTAATAAAAGAAGTCTCCCTGGAGGACAGGTGTTTGGCTTCCCATTCCACAGCATGGGATAGATGTGGCTGATGGAACCAAGATTATTCACAAAGAGGTGGTTCTCCTGCATGTAAAGGCTGGAAGAGCCGTGCACTTGGGTGTGTCTGCATGGGAGAGGGCACAGGCTAGGCTGGTGCGCCTGGGAGGTGGGAGAGGTGGGGAAAGAGGCCATCTGGCAGGAGCTGAACATTTGACATCGTGGGACACTTTGCAGAGGAAGCTAACATGATTTTGAGGAGATACTTAGGAGCTGGTCACAACAGTGAGTCACAAAGAGAAAGCTGGAGCTGGGGGATCCTGGAGGGAGATGAAAGGAAGGCTGATTCATAGAACCCAGGCTGGACAGGACTCGTTTTCAGAACCCAGGCTGGACGGGACTTGTGGCGAGCAGTCCAGTACAGCCTCACGGTGCGGAGCGTGAGCTGTGGAACCTGCCCCTACCCTAGCTTTGCAACCTTAAGTGAGTCTCACAGCTTCTCATGGGTAAACTGCTCATCATAATGGTTCTGACCTCAGTGGTTTGTTGTGTTATAGGAAATGATGCCAGTGAATGCATAGTCCCAGCCTCAGCACAGGGCAGCCACCTTGAAGCTCTCAAATATCACTGTTGTGAATACAGAGAAGGAAAACCAACTGTAACGTGCTACCCAAATCTAAGTTTTACTCATATTTTGATGTTAGGATGGATAGCTTGCAGAAAGTTGGAGGGTACGGCCTTTATTATGAGGCATCTATGAAGGATCAGGAATGGATGTAGACAAGGAACTAGTAATGGAAAGTGTTAAAGCTGGAGCCCCTGGAAAACCAGAAATGAGGCTGGACACTCAGGAAGAAACAAATGAAGGTGATGCTAATGGTAAGTTGGGGAGCAAAGAGGGTTGCCTTAAAGACCTATGCAGTTAGGGAGTGGGCAGGGTGTTGAACCAGGAAGGGAAAGTTGTGGTTTAAGAACATGCATACAGAAGATACATGTAACTACACGCTGTTTGTCCTTCTGTTGAATGAGTTATTCAAATCAGTCCACCATTCATCAGACTTCATTTGTGGTCTCTAAGAGTGACATCAGTCTTCCTTGGAATATGATGAGAATTTATTTGGTTCTTCTTTTGCTTTTCTATTTGATTTATTTTATGTTATTTGGTACAGAAAGTTCATTACAAGTCCTGTCCAACAATGTGCCTCTCCTGGCCCTAGAGTTCTTGGACACAGTCCAGGCCAAAGAGAAGGCCTTTCTCCCCATGGTCAGCCACACGTTCCACATGCCCACAGAGGAGTCTGGTGCTCCACAGGAGGGTGATGACATACCGAAGTCCTCGGCAAACACCAGCCATCCCAAGCAGGGTGACATCCCCAAGTCCCCAGAAGAAACCATCCAGCCTACGGAGGGTGACATCTGCAAGTCCCCAGAAGAAACCAACCAATCCAAGAAGGACGACCTCCCCAAGTCCTCAGAAGAAGTCATCAAACCCAAAGAGGGTGACATCCCCAAGTCCTCAGCAAAACCTATCCAGTCCAAGCTGGGCAATATTCCCAAGTCCTCAATGAAGCCCATCCAGCCCAAGGAGGGTGACATCCCCAAGTCCCCAGAAGAAAGCATCCAGCCCAAGGAGGGTGACATCCCCAAGTCCCCAGAAGAAGCCATCCAGCCCAAGGAGGGTGACATCCCCAAGTCCCTAGAAGAAGCCATCCAGCCGAAGGAGGGTGACATCCCCAAGTCCCCAGAAGAAAGCATCCAGCCCAAGGAGGGTGACATCCCCAAGTCCCCAGAAGAAGCCATCCCACCCAAGGAGGGTGACATCCTCAAGTCCCCAGAAGAAGCCGTCCAGCCCAAGGAAGGTGACAGCCCCAAGCCCCTAGAAGAAACCATCCAGCCGAAGGAGGGTGACATCCCCAAGTCCCCAGAAGAAGCCATCCAGCCGAAGGAGGATGACAGCACCAAGTCCATAGAAGAAACCATCCCACCCAAGGAGGGTGACATCCTAAAGCCTGAAGAAGAAACAACGGAGTCCCTGGAGGGGGACAAGGTGAAAGTGATCCTGAGCAAGGAGGACTTTGAGGCATCACTGAAGGAGGCTGGGGAGAGGCTGGTGGCTGTGGACTTCTCGGCCACGTGGTGTGGGCCCTGCAGGACCATCAAACCGTTCTTCCACGCCCTGTCTATGAAGCATGAGGACGTGGTGTTCCTGGAGGTGGACGCTGACGACTGTGAGGAGGTGGTGAGAGACTGTGCCATCATGTGTGTCCCAACCTTTCAGTTTTATAAAAAAGAAGAAAAGGTGGATGAGTTTTGCGGCGCCCTTAAGGAAAAACTTGAAGCAGTCATTGCAGAATTAAAGTAAACATGTATTCTGAAAACACTGCAGACAGTCAGATGTTTATAGCTTTTGAGTTATCTTTTATTATTTACACAAAGCGATCAGGTATAACAAAAGTGTATGTCCAAATGGCACTGCTCGTACATGATAATATTAACTCTACTCTTTTCAAAATACAGTCCAAGCATTAAAGTACATTGTGACTGTGTTTCTGTTGGTGGGAGAGTGTAAAATTAGAAATTCCTCTGGTGAAGATTGCTAAGTCCCACGGTCTCCTATTTTTCAATCTTGATATGTATTTATTTTTCACTTGCCTTTGAAAATTCCACGCATTTAGTGTTTGTAGCAAGACTGAAAATTTAGGTAATTTTTCTATAGAGGCAGATGACTGAAAGATGAATGGAAACTTCTTTTCTCATGCTCACTTATCTTTGGGGATTCTGATAAGATACATTTGGAGACAAGGAATTTGAAAGATTCACATCTTAGTTAACCTCCTTCTTCTGCTGGGAGTGCTATGGAGGACTTGGGAAATCCAGTGGGTTTTCCAGGACCCGATTTGTTGGTGACAGAAGTGAGATCAAGGCCGCTTCCAGATTTCAAGTCCAGGGCTCTACCTACTATAATCTACGCTCACAAAATCTAAGACAAGAGCTCAGAACTTCAGGTTTCTTGGAGGTTGAAGTCCTCCGGATCTTTGCTGCCATTATGACATGAGTGCCCTGATGGCAGAGTTCCTGGTTTGTCTCCATGGTAACTGGGTTCCTAATACCTAGAACTTGCTCTGACTTTTTTACTTAAATTTGTTCTTATTTTCACTATTGAATAAGCCAGCCTTTAACGTGACTCTACCAGCTTAGACATATAGGCCTAGACTTTAATGAATTAACCTAATCACAGAGCTACCAGAGTCTTGTTTAGGCAACTCAGTAAGCCCCAGATGTCTGTGAGCCCAAAGGCCCAGGTCTGAACCGTTGATGGAGGCTTAGTCCAGAGTAGGTTTTTAAAAGTGAATAAAACCAGCTTCATTAGGTATAATTGATATACAAAGAACTGCACATATTTAATGGAGGGAGTTGGATGAGTTTGGATGTGTTGCATATGCCCTTGAATACCATCTCCACCATCAAAGTAATTAACACCTTCACTGCCTCCAGAAGTTTCCTTGTGTCACTGTGCTTTATTGTTATTACTATCATGGAAAAAGCACTTAACAGATCTACTCTGCCAACACATTTTTAAGTGTCCAGCACTGTAACATTAACTACATGATGCCGCACAGCAGATCCATGGAACTTACTCATCGCTGTGGCTGAAATTTAACACCCATCGAACAACTAACTCCCCGTTGCCCGTCCCGCACCCTCTGGCAGTCCCCATTCTACTTTTTGCTGGTCCAGAGTGTTTTTAAAAATTGGAATTCCTTGCCAACATTTCAAATATCAGGATTAAAAAAAAAAATCTAGACGTCTAGCTTTTCTTGAAAAACTGTAAGATCTGACAATCCAGGCTTGCCTTACCTCAAGAAAACCAAACCTTGGGGTCTGAGTGGCAGCTGCCTCCATCTGATAGGGCGCACTCTCTCCAGTCTTCTGCTGCCGAACCCGGCTGGCTTCTTCACTTAGACAGCGGAGTTGCAATCCCTATTGTAAGTTCAAGACTGGGACTGGGTACGGTGGCTCACGCCTGTAATCCCAGCACCTTGGAAGGCCGAGGCTGGTGGATCACCTGAGGTCAGGAGTTCAAGACTAGCCTGGTCAACATGGTGAAACCCCGTCTCTACTAAAAATACAAACATTAGCCGGGTGTGGTGGTGGGTGCCTGTAATCCCAGCTACTCAGGAGGCTGAGGCAGGAGAATCACTTGAACCTGGGAGGCAGAGCTTGCAGTGAACTGATATTATGCCCCTGCACTCTAGCCTGGGTGATAGAGCCAGACTCTGGCTCAAAAACAAACAAACAAAAAAGACCGAGAATGCCCCATCTCTTCCCATCTGCACCTATCCTGACTCTCCTTAGTGGTACCTCAGTTACAGGCTTCATTTGCACCCTTAACGATGGCCTAACAACTGCAAACAAAACGAAATACCCTATATGCTTGGCCTTTTTTCCAAAAAAGATTTGGAATCACCTACAGAAGGATTGATGATAAAGCTAACAAACCAGAAAGAGGAATCAGAGCCATGAAGGGAGTAACGTGTCAACTCTGTGGGCTCACATCTTGGCTCTGACAGAGCAGCAAATTTTGTTCAGAACTCTTGGCAAGTGGGAGAGAAAGGAGAAATTCAATAATACCCAGATGTCATCACCCAAAATAAGCAGGCTTAGGAATTCGCAGAAGAGTCAAAGCTTTTCCTTAACTAAATTCCTGAATGACATTTCTCATCTGCGACCCTAAGTTTGAGACACTGAATGATGGATGAAGTTCTTGACAAGATTTTTTTATAATAAATTCAGAACAGTTTTTCATGTGGATGTTCTTGGTAAGAATCTTAGTGAAAGCTGAAGCCATAATGGTAAAGTGCTTTTCAACGAGAGGATTCCGGATTCGAGGTGTACTGCATTTTCATAGAAATGGGCTTTTAGTGACAGTGCATATATCTACCTGTTATTTCCCTCTGAGAGAGAGACATTCTTCTGACTTTTTCAATCAAATTTGTTCTTATTTTCCATAATGAACAAGGTTAGCTTCAACATGACTCTACCAGCCTAGACATATAGGCCTAGACTTTAACCAATTAACCCAACCATTGTGCTACCAGAGTCCTGTTTGGATAACTTAGGGAGCCAGCCTCCCAACACTTTTAAATTAAATTAAATTAAATTTTGAGACATTTTCTCACTCTGTTGCCCAGGCTGGAGTGCAGTGGCATGATCATAGTTCACTATGGTCTTAGGCTCAAGTGATCCTCCTGCCTCAGCCTCCCGAGTAGCTGAGACTATAGATAAAGCCACCACGCTTGGTTAATTTAAAAATATATGTATTTTTGTAGAGATGGCGTCTTGCCGTGTTGCCCAGGCTGGTCTCAGACTCCTAATCTCAAGAGATCCTCCCACCCAGACCTCCCAAAGTGCTGAGATTACAGGCATGAGCCACTGTACCCAGCCTCCCACAACACTTTAGAGTGTGCAGTTTTAAGGACCAGGGACCCTGAAATCTAACACTAGTGACTTATACTAACTGCTTTTTCTGGTACCATAATATTAAAGACATTTCTGTCAAAGGTCCCTTTTTATATTTAGGTTACTAAGTGATGTCATTGACAATGACCTCAAAATATCCTTAAAAATTATTGTGATAGTAGATCTTAAGATGATTTAATAGAATTCTTAATGTAAGTCAACGGAGGAGGCAAAGCACAGTTCTCTGAAGGCATTCTGTAGGGCCAAGAAAAAGCAACACAAGTGTGTGGCTCTCTGATGATCTAGTTTGATCCAGAGATAGAATTTAAACTAGCAGATAATCCATTTATGTCCCTCAAATTACACATTGTGAGAACCACTTATCTCACAATGTGTACATCACAATGTGACTCACACCTGTAATCCCAGCACTTTGGGAAGCCAAGGTGGGTGGATCACCTGAGGTCAGGAGTTTGAGACCAGCCTGGCCAACATGGTGAAACTAAAAATACAAAAAATATCTCTACTAAAAATACAAAAAAATTAGCTGGGCATGGTGGCAGACACCTGTAATCCCAGCCACTCAGGAGGCTAAGGCAGGAGAACCGCTTGAACCCAGAAGGCGGAGGTTGCAGTGAGCCAAGATCAAGCCACTGCACTCCAGCCTAGACAACGAGAGCAAAACTCCATCTCAAAATAATAATAATAATAATAATAATAATAATAATAATCAACCAAGCAATTGTTTTCATCTCTAATATTTAACATGAAGGACAAATAAGAAGCAGTTCTAATGAGAAGATCCCAGATAATCATATGAGCTGTGAACAATGATAATCTAACCAGAGCCTTAAGAATCAATGGAAAATCTATTAGAATTAACAAGAAAACTCAACAAAGTGTCAGTAATTGGAGTAATATCTAAAAATCAACAGCTTCCGTGTGATTCTGTGGCAAATAATTGGGAATCTGTGAAAAAAAAGTCTTACTCACAATAGCGACAAAATAAAATGTCTAGCAATAGTCCTAATGAGCAGTAAGGATGATTAAGAGTAAATTAAAACATTTTGAGATGTATACAAGTAGGTTCGAATAGAGTGAGACGGTCCATTTTCCTCATTGGAGAAAAGACTGAAAGATGTTGATGCTTTCCACTTAATTAGTAGACAATGTAATTCCAACCAATATCTCAATGGGATATTTGATAGAACTTGACAAGATATTTAAAACTTCACTGAGAATAGTAGACAAGAATAGGTAGGAAAAGTCTCAAATGAGAAGTAATGAAGAGATATGTGCCCTATCAGAGAGTTACATGTGTAGTTGGTACATTAATTATAAAACAATGATATTAATGAAGGAAAAAGAGAGCAATGAAACATAATAGTAAGCAAGAACCACACACTGGCATGTAAGTAGTAATATATGACAAAGGAAACATTTCAATTTGATGCAGAGTGAGTGGATTTTTGTTCACAAAATTGTATGGCGAAATTTTAATATTTGAGGGGGAAAAATCAATTTATATCCCAATCCCACACCAGCCACTGAAATAAATATAAGTTGAATTAAAGGATAAAAAACAAAATATGGAGTGATTAAAAAACAGAAGAAAATTTAGTTGAAGTTTTTAAAAATGTTTTCGAGACAGGGTCTTGCTCTGTTCCCCAGGCTGGAGTGCAGAGGTGTGATCACAGCTCACAGCTTGAGTTCCTGGGCTCAGGTGATCCTCCCAACTCAGCCTCCCAGGTAGGGAGGTAGCTGGCACTACAGGCATGCACCACCATGCCTAGCTAATTTTTAATTTGAAAAATTTTTTGTAGAGACGGGGTCTCACTATTGCCCAGGTTGGTCTTGAACTCCTGGCCTCATGCAATTCTCCCACCATGGCCTCCCAAAGCACTGGGATTACAGGCATGAACCGCCACACCTGGCCAAACATGTATTTGATTCATGGATGGAGAAAGGATTTTCTAGACACAATTGCAATTAAAGAAGTAG